CAAATTAATTGACGGGATTGAATGTTGACCCGGTTTGCGGTGTCAACCTCAGCCTCGAGGTTGGACCTGCTCCTAGCGCCTGGTCTGTCGAGTCAATCTCCATGTTGGACCAAAAAGGGTTAATTATGTTCAATTTGTGATAATGAAATTGGGGGTCACCACAACATGAGGAACTGTATTAAAGGGTCGTGGCATTAGGAAGGTTGAGAAACCACTGTTTTAGATAGGGGTGTGCTTTTACTAAATTTACACATATTTTAAAAATAGGGTAAAAAGAAAACATTTGATTTTTGTCAATCATTGGTAATTAACGTTCAGAGATGAACTACAGTATATACAGTATAATGTTTAGCTCCTGGGCAATTTTTCCACAAGAAAAAGTGTAGCATTTGATAACTATTACTTCAACAAACAGAAGAGTTTCCTACTATGGAAAGGTATTCTGTAGTGTGAAATTAAAGCACCAGGTGTTTGTGCAGAATGCCACAGAACATATATGCAGCTTGTTTATTCCTTGCACAACTCAATATCCTGGAATATATTTATGTTAAGATATTGTTCATATTTATGTGGTGAGTTATCTCTTCCTTTATAATAGTCTTTAGCAGACAGCTGTTGGCCAAAATGCAGCCTCCATTTCTGAGCCATGAGTGCTGGGTGTGGCCATGAAGCTAAGTTCTAGAACATGAAATATGAAGGGAAAAGAAACATGTACCACTCGGCCAGCATGGCTCAGTGGCTGAACATTGACCTATGAACCAGGAGGTTGAGGTTCCATTCCTGGTCAGGGCACATGCTTCCTGGTTAGGGCACATGCCTGGGTTGCAGGCTCAATCTGCAGTAGGGGGCGTGCAGGAGCCAGCCAATCAATGCTTCTCTCTCATCATCGATGGTTCTATCTCTCTCCTCCCTTCCTCTCTGGAAAAAAAAAAAAAAAGGTGCACCTTCTGGGCCCGCCTTCACACAGAAGTGTGGCCATCCCCACCCTTCTTCCCATGGACTTGAATATGAATAAGGGCTCAAGGTAGCAGAGCAGTTAGATCAAAGGGGTCTAAGGTAGGGGTGGGGAACCTTTTCCTGCCAAGGGCCATTTGGATATATAATATCATTTGCAGGCCATACAAATTATCAACTTAAAAATTAGCTTGCTGTATTTGGTCAAACCTTTAATTTACTCACCCCTAAAACCTTGACAGGGCCAGACCAAATGATTTCACAGGCCTTATATGGTTCATGGGCCGGACATTTCCCACCCGTGGTCGAGCGTTTTGAAACATAGAGCCTACGCCTGGATCCAGAACTGCTTATATACAATTATTATGTGTACATGAGAGGAAGATGTTCAAGGCACTTTTATGCTGGTTTTCTGTGATGGCAGGCAAATCTGTAGCATAAATGATACAATTTAGTTTATTGTTGGAAGATGAGTGTTTGTGTTCAAATGTGCAATTAGGTGTCTCCTCAAAGTTCAGACCGTGTTTGCATTCTCTTTTGGAGTTTATTTTGCTTTGTGTTACGGATTATGTTTTATGTGAGCAAATGAAAATCTGTTCATACATTTGTGTAACTATTATGGTTATTCAAAAATTTGGGAACTATTTAAATAGCCCCCAGAGAAGACTGGATGCTGGCCTCTCTTTAATTAGTAAACCACCATCAAGAACAAATATACGAGTTCTCTAAAAAAGGTTTAACCTCAAGTCTTGCCCTAGATAGTTTCCATCTTCACATCTCATTTGGTTTACAGAGACCACTTCTTAGACTGTCTCCCTCCCCCAGATTGCTTTGGAATTTGTCTCTGAGAATTGCTCTTAACCAGCTGCCTTACCCCAAAGACCCACCCACACCCTATAAGCTCTGGTCCTATGCCACTCAGCCTGCTGGAGGGCTCATTTCTACTGTCTGCTCATAATCTATTTGGTTTTCCTTTGATTTCAGTGGCTTCACTTTAATGATATATTTCGTCATACTTAGGAGAATTGTTAGTTTAAAAGGTTAATATTTACATATACTACAAATGCAGTCCTCTCAATGGAAACTCCTAAAAAAAATACATGTGTGGCTATCCTGATGGGAAAAAAAATCATTGGAAAACAAGAAAAAAATATATCATATAGTACAATAAATGCCTGCCAAGGTTTATAGGCTTCAAGAAATGATAATTGAGTGCAATTTCAGTACATTCTGAGGATCACTATTTTTTTTAATATATTTTTTATTGATTTTTTACAGAGAGGAAGGGAGAGAGATAGAGAGTTAGAAACATCGATGAGAGAGAAACATTGATCAGCTGCCTCCTGCACATCTCCCACTGGGGATGTGTCCGCAACCCGGGTACATGCCCTTGACCGGAATCAAACCTGGGACCCTTCAGTCTGCAGGCCGACGCTCTATCCACTGAGCCAAACCGGTTTCGGCCTGAGGATCACTCTTTTAAGCTCTGTTTTTGTTTTCAGGTGTTTTTTTTCAAGTCTTAGAATCTTGATTGAATGCTGACCCCAAAAAAGCAAAGCCCCCCAAAACTCATGCTCATAAATTCAGTGAAGGGTTTGGTTCACTCACACGGCCATCAGATAATGAGCTGATTAAAGTTCTCTAACTGAAATGTTATTAGCTCAAATTCTGTATTACCTTTCCAAGCTCTAATCTTAAAGCTGTCACCATAGCTATCGTGCACAAATAGTATAAATGACAGAGGCAATTGAGCAAAGTCTTTTCCGAATCCGGCACCTAATACCTTAGGCATGAAAATGTGGCTCGCCTATCTCTCCAAAAGGCTTACTGTTTTAAACTAGAGAGTTTATACCCATACATATAATTATATCAAATCTATGCCTATATCTATATGTCACCTATATCTATATATCTATCTATATCTATATCATCTATATCTATATCTATATATCTGCATCCTCACATTTTTTCACATACGGTTGAGATATGCTACACATATTGCTCTTGCACTGTCATTTTCCAGATATTCGATGCCATGAACATCATCATTCAGTTAGTGTACACGGATCTTACTCCATCTTTTTAATGGTTGCATAGCATTCCAAACTGTACCCTTGTTTATACATAAAATTTTATTATTAACTATGGCATATACATGTCATTATAAGCAATAATTAAACATTATAGGTGGAAAGTTGCTTTTTTCTTTTTTTGTCACTAATACACAATACAATTGTGAACATCTTTGTGCATATATATTTTTTATGAAATTGTTTTATTATTTCTTTTGGTAAGGTTCTAAAATGGCCAGTTGCCAATTCAAAGGTATTTTAACTCAACAGTATCAAATAGAACAAAAATTCCTACACATTTTGGTTCTAGAGGCTTCTCCTATAACCATACTTTTCCAGAGTAAATTCCAAACATAAAATTTTGTTATTAAAACTGTTTATTACAAGACATCACAAGTGAGTTGTAGAGTCAAAGTAAATGTTCCTCCAGATAATGCTATAGCACTCCAGAATGATGAAATGCTTAAAATAGAGTATTTAAGTTAGAACTTGTAAATGGTATATAATTACAGCTCTCATAATGCAACCATGCTATAGTGACACATCCAAGAGCAAATTCTTTCCAGCATTCTTAGTATTGATATAAATGTCCAAGTGGTGAGCATATGTTTCTGGAATGTTTAATGTTTCTGTCGGCAGTTGGGCAGGGTTTGTCTTATTTTCGGGGAGCTATGTCATAGGTCGGTTAATACTTTCTTATGTCATTGTTGCATTCCCTCCAACAGATTTGATAGGGTATATGGAAATTTCCGAAAAGGTGAGCTGAACATTCCAATCTGAACAACTTCATGGAGCATTAGCATTTTGTTACAACTTATTATCAGGCAGGAAGAGTTGGCCAGAAGCACAGAATGATCTGCTGGCCTATAGCTGGAGCACAGTGATCTTTGCTGTAAAGTGTTTGACTTCACTTAAACTGACTTATGACATGTCACTGATCTAGTTTGTTAGCGAAACCACAGTTTATGGAAACCAGATTTCTTCACCATAAAGAGAGTGGGAGATTTTTATTCCTCATGGTAGACAGCTCAGTTGAACAGAACTGAGAACATTAGCTTTGTTAGAATTGCGATTATGGATTATTACTATATTGAAAGAGGGGCAAGGATGTCACACTAAAGTGTCCAATCTGCATTGTTTTGCAATGCCAATGGCCACATTGGATTTATAGAAGAAATTGCATTTATATTTACATCAGGATTATAGAGCACTACATTGTGAGATGATTTTTGGAAAAATCCTAAAAGCATGGCAAACTTTGTTAAAGAGTTCACTAAGTAACCCCTGCTTCATGTAGCCCCACTCAAATCCTTGCTTCCCTCACCCAGAAACTACTTAGGGGAGCAGGACATCTACAGGATTACTCGGGGGACCTGGGCATAAATAATTACCTTCAGTTATTACCTTTGGGGTAAAGAGTTAAAGAAAAGTTGATATGCTCATCGATAACAAATGTGCCAGGGTAACATTTAAAATAATATCAGCATATTTGGGGGGCAGGGGTACTGTTGCCTTTATATAAATATATAAAGGGGTCATTTTTAACATGTAATTTATACCACTTTTCTTTGATAAAATATGCTTTTCAGAGGGAAAAGGAAACAAGCCCAAATAAATGTTATTAAATTAAAAAAAAATAGAGGTTACTCTTTAGATGGGCTCTGAACAGTGAGCTTTCTCATGTTATTTAATTCCAATTGAAGAAAGTGAAACCAATTCTGTCTTCAATACAGTCTCAGAATAGATTGTTCATAAACCATTATACATATTATTAGCCAAATGGATAGGTTATTCTATTTTAATTTTTATATATTTTGATGGTATCCCCAAGAAGATACTCTTTGAGTCACACAGCTACAGTATAGGGGAAAAGAAACATCTACAGATCCCTTTCATGCTACCAAAATCATAAGCGATGGAAACAAGGATATTTACAACATTCCAAAAGCTAGATAAGCTGCGCACCGGTCTTACCTTTCTCTTGCGAAGTCTGACTTGGTTATCTGTGGGTTCCTGGGTGGTCAGAGGTTCCTTTAAGTGTAAACACCGCATGCCATCTCCAGCGCTGACCTTTGGAAGACTTTTGTTTTGATGTTCTGAGAAACCACTCTTCTGCGGGCCATTTTCAGCGGACATTCCACCGGTGCAGGAAGGAGGCTGCAGAAGGCAGCCCCCAGGATCTGCTTTTGATAATGGCAGTCCCCTGTCTGCACAAGGGCTAGCGAAAACCTCATCTTGTCCTACACAGCAGGTGTTTCTTTCATGTTCCTCCTTAGGGAAGTCGGGTTTCCTCCGTTGCTGAGCAATTACAGCAGAATTAAGCAATTGCTTCTCAGGCACAATATCGTTCACATGCAACGACTCACATACATGTATTTGGGATGCATCTTTTATTTCACTTAAGCTTATATCATTACAAAGCTCCAGGCTTTTACTTATCATGTCAATAACTTCCCTCTCCCCGCTTTCTTCTACGAGTGCTAATTCAGCTCCACCAGCCACTCCCCAGGAGCTGTAAGAATCCTGGTTTGTTTCCGTGATGGGCAGCGTCTTGACGAAGGAGCCTGCTCCTTTGACGCTATGTTGGTCTGAGGTCCCGTGCCCTTGGGAAGTTAAAATCTGTTTATCATCTGTAGGATACACATCAGAATCGGTACCCTCATCAGAAACGTGCACTAGTGTTTCCGTGCTGGCTTCCAGAGAAAGAAACTGATCTTCGCCTTCCTGGCTGTCATTTTCATCCACCTCCTTGGAAATGTGACCCATTGGCCTCCCAGGAAAATCTCTCAGCTCTGATGCATGGCAGCAGTCCGGTAGCGAAACACACTTCTCTTTGCGGTCCGCATTTAGAGTTGCATCTTTTTCCATACTTGCCTGCAAGCTGTCAGCTACGAGTCCATGATGACATGCTGTGTTATGATCATCAGAACTAAAAGGCTGTCCCATCCATTGGGTCACATGTTCTTCCCAGCTTCTCTTCCTGATAGCTACAGACATGTCATTGTAGTTTAACCACAGATACAGAAATACATTCCATGTGAGACAAAAGGAGATGGCACTTGATGAAAGAACTTCACATTCGTTGACTGAAGAAGAGAGTGAGTGTTCTCATTTCACCACCTATTAAAAAATTTAAAAATATAGATATATATATATATAGTTCAGGACATGATTCTAAAATGAAAATATAACTTGGAAAAGAGAGCCCTTCATCTATGCTCGAAAGATCAAATTAGAGAGTGTGTAAAATTTCTGTTTAATAACTTTAATAGTATTACTTCTTGAAGAAGCAGCTTGATGTAAGGAGAAAATTTCACATTGGATATTTATGATAAAATAATCATTGGCATTGTTTTAAAAGGCAGCTGGATTGATCAATCTGTTAATGAATACAGATATAACTATTGAACATTGAAAACTTCAGTAAGAAAATATTTGGATTGCAATACTTGATAAAATTCACTGCAAGAAACTTGTTGTGCTAGCGTACATGCTTTCCTCATTGACTTTTGTGAACACAAGTCTTGACAGAAATCTATTTGCTGTTCGGTTTGAATTTCAACAAAGGCCATCAGGGAACTGTTCACACAAAATTTGAGCTATAGAGACAGCATTTGTAAAGTATTAGTGTGTGACAGAACTAATACAGATCCCAAACGCCCAGGATGTATTCACTCCAGGGAGTGACTAAGAAACATGAAATAATCCAGTTTAGCTCATATTTACACATAATTCATGGATAAGAAAGCATAGCACATACCATTTACAATGACTCAGGATAAATACATTTACATGCATAGTATTCCTGCTACTACTGGCTCTAGCTAGCATTATTGAGGCTGAGAGAAATTCAATCACTTGTTCATGGTTATAGATACATCTAGGAAGCCAGTAGTCAAACTAGGCCCTGGTTCTAAGGCCAGGATGAGAGAGCCAACACACTTCATTGTCTCTGTGCAATGAGATCCTCCCTCCACCCCTTCCTTCCACATATCTGTCGTATGTATAACTCCGTAGGCAGGAATTCAGGGGAACCAAAAGGAAGATGTGAGAATGATAAGACAATTGGGATAATTCTTCAGAAATTTCAGTCTCTTTGGCTTGCATGGAGTTTAGTTTGTATACTTCTGTTAGAATTTGGTCATAAAAATTTAAGTAAACAAGAAAACCAGGCAGAGATAAGGTCAGAATATAAACACATTCTTGGTATCCATACTTTTTACCTTGAGTGATTCAAACCTTAGTTAAAGGAAACAAATTATACCTGCGTAAACTCAGCCTTACAAAATGTTGTTCTGTAATGAAAGCAAATTCATGGACTGTAAAAGAAAAATCCCATTGAAAACGCAGACACTTCGAGTTTTGACTCCACATTGGGACTTTCAGCACATAACATGGACTGGCTTATTGATTTCAGTTGTAAACAAGATTAACTGCTGTGCTGGTTTTGGGTCACTTCAGGCTATTGAAAAGGACTGACTCCTCACCAAAAATTTCAAGCTATTCTGACTAAGCTCTAAGCACATGCCAGAAAGGTAAATATTCCCATCCTGTGAAGACCAGTGAAGTTAAGGAATGTACTAGAAATTGGTTCCTCAGTCTGACCAAATACCTTTCTGGATACCCTTTGGTGCCCTCAGAGGTCTGTGATCATCTTTGAAAATGGTCAGCATTCCCATTTTCCATGTGGGCCTTCATTCTCCACGCAGAAGAAAATAGCAAGACCCCGAATCCCATGCATAAGTCATTACAGTGTGGGAGGCTACAGAAAGTGGAAAAAACGCATAGATGCAGGTCAGACAAATTTCGCTTTTATGGGCAAATTTGGGTTGTAATAGGGAGGTTCTGTTTTAGAGGCGTTCTTTCCTTTATTTTTATCCAGTGTAGAAAGAGAGGGCTAACTTAAGAAATGCCAAGTGGTATTACTGTGTCATTCCTAAGCCTCATTTACATGTCAGTTGAGACTGAATTCTGGCTTCATTTCTTTTACTAAGAAGAAATAGAGTTTTATTAACCCCTTAGAGAAGAGATTACACTATTTGCCTTTAAGACCTTATCTTACTATTAACTAACTTATTTTACTCAACCTTGGCAAGTATGTCAATATTTTTATATCACAGGAAGACAGTTCAACAAGTCCTGAGACAATCTAGCTACAAAGAGAGATTATAAATTAGATATTTCCAACATAGTCTTAATTACTCTGTCCTAATTTCTAATCTAGGTTTTTTGATTATTTTCAAATTATTCCTGTGAATGTACACTGTCTTTTCTTTCAAGAAAAATGTCCTAATTATTGTTATGACAACCATCACTACATTTTGAGTGCTCATCCCATAATATCCTGTGGTCTGATAGATTTAAAAAAATTATCTCCACAACCTTTCATATTCATACTTCCTATTTAAATTCAGAGTTATAACATTTATGTTAAAATCTGCCTCCATCATCTAAAGGCTGAACAGAATATTAAGGAGATGGAACACTGGATTCTTTTCAATCACGTCTCAGCCTATTGGCCTCATTTTCTAAGTCATCTGAATTGATTAGAAGCCATCCTGCCAGGAAGATGTGAAGTCTTTGTCAAAGTTCTGACTTTCCCTATGGACCACCTCATCAGAATGCCTTATTAAAAATTATATTTCTAGCCTGGCCGGTATGGCCTAGTGGTTGAGCCTCGACCCATGAGCCAGGAGGTCATGGTTTGATTCCCGGTCAAGACACATGCCCAGTTGTGGGCTTGATCCCTAGTAGGGGCTGTGTAAGAGGCAGTGTTAAATGATTCTCTCCCATCATTGATGTTTCTATCTCTTTCTCCCTCTCCCTTCTTCTCTCTGAAATCAAAAATAAAAATAAAAATTATATTTTTAACTACTGACTACTTATTTTGTAAATTTCTATTACATTTTTTGGGTAAGCCTTTTTACGCAATTTCATTCAGAATGAGCTCAGCTGCTGAGGATTTGGATGAAGGATCTGGAAAAGTATAGGTCATTCCAGGGTGTTGATTTTATGAAGTGAATTTCCATGGGGATTTTTCACTTCTTAAATGCATGTATTCAAACACCACTGTATTAATATTACACGAGACTGTATGTACCTCTAATTATGTAACATTTCTGAAAAATAATTGTGAAATGTCCAACTTTACTGTCTGTGATATTATTTCATAGGATGTTTAGATACAAAGTGATTTCAAATTTATTGTTTCGGCTCATTTTGTAGCACTAACACTCCATAAAATAAGTACTTCAAAGCATAGAGAATTTATTTTTAAATTAATTGTAATTGCACTAAAAACGACATCAAAGGAATACATTCTATTGAGAACCACTGACGTATATCTGATATCAAGTGATCATGCTTTCCCTTGAACTTATTGCGGATATAAACACATACCTTACTTTTTGGCCTGGTAGTGAACTGTCCCTAAGGAAGAAGAGCCTGGTGATAATCACTTCTGGTCATTCTATAGCCGGGGAGAACATGATACAAATGAAGGACTTGTGGCTGAAATCAAGTTGGCAGTACTGTAGAACTGATGGCAACACTGTCTGCCCATCATCATTCATTAACAAACATTTATTCAATGACATAGACACTGTGCTAAACATTGGGAATATAAACCTAAATAATATACTGTATTCTACCTTTCCTAAAGAAGCTTACAACTTTATGGTAGAAACTCATGTAAACAAGGATAATAAGTTCTCACATGGCCACAAATGCCACAGAAAATTTAACACAGAGGAGGGGGGCATTTACTCTCCCTCCTTTTCGCTTTCCCTCTTCCCTCCCTCCCTCC